TTCTAACTTTTTGTTGTAGCTTTTTTTTTTTACTTATAGAAGACCCTTTAACATTTCTTTTAGGGTTGGTTTAGTACTGATGAACTCTGTCTCTTCTGAATGATAATCTTGCTGAGATTATCCCTTTCCACTCTAAACATGTCATGCCATTTCCTTCTGGCCTGCAGTGTTTTGGCAGAAAAATCTCTCATAGCCTTATGAGGGTTGCCTTGGATGTGACTCCTTGCTTTTCTCTTGCTGTCTTTAGATTTCTCTCATTAACTTTTGCCATTTTAATTTTGATGCCTAGGTGTGAATCTTTTGGGGTTCATCTTGTTTGGGACTCTGTTCTTCCTGTACCTGGATGTGTTTCCTTCTTCAGATTCAGGAACTTTTCAACCATAATTTCGCTAAATACATTTTCAACCCCTTTTGGTCTCCATTCTCCTTCTGGAACCCTTATAATGCAAATGGTGATACACTTGTCCCAAATATTTCTTAAACTGTTTTAATTTCAAAAATTTGTTTTCTTTTTGTTATCCTAATCGAGTGATTTCCATTATTCTCTTTTCCAGATCAGGTGTTCTGTATCAGTAGGTTTGCTGTTAATTCCTTCTAGTGTATTTTCATTTATCATATTCTTTAGTTCTGATTAGTTCTTTTTTACTTTCTAGTCCCTTGTTAGAGTTCACACTATGTTCATCTGTTATTTTCCCTAATTCAGTTAACATTATTACTAATTCTCTGAACTGGTAAATTGTGTATCCGTTTCATTCCTTTTTTCAGGGTTTTTTTTCCCCTTTCTTGTTGTTTTATTTGAAACAAATTTCTCTGTCTTCTCATTTTGCTTACCTTTGTCTCTATGAAATTAGATAAAAGTTACCTGTCCTGGTCCTGAATGGGGTGCCCTTGTCTGGGAGCATCCTTGTGCAGCCTGCATGTGCCTGGTGGCTTTGGTGGGTGAGCTGTGTCTGAAGTGAGCTCAAGTCACATTTCTCCTCTGGGTAGGCTGGCGGCTATCACTATTGCTAGGAGGTGGGGCTGGAGATGGCAGGGATGGGGGAGGGTTGGAGCTAGAGCCAGGTGTGAGAGGGGGACTTCTCTGCTCAATAGCCAACAGTGTCCTGTCAAGGGATGGGATGCTACATCAGGAAGTTGCTCCATCAGAAGCCCCGAGGGTCAAGTCAGAGCTGGTTCTGCTCCCTCAGTGTGTGCTCCCCCGCTCCCAGCATTGGCACCTTTGCCCCAGAAGGGAGCACTGCTGCAGCAGGTGCCGGTGATGGCCACGCTCTCCCTGTCTGGGTACAGTGCTGGGTCCAGGCTGGCGCCATCCTCCATGGCAAAGCAGTCTCCAGCAGCAGCAGCCTTTGCTCTCGTGGGAAGTTGTGCTGCGGAGCAAGAGGGGCCACAGCGTGTGCTGGAGTGATCCCGCCTCTGGCCAGAGCACTTGCCAGGTCTGAGCCCACTCTGTTCCCGACAGCGGGGCACTCACCTCGGCTGCCGTGGCCTTTGCCTTAGTAGGAAGCTGCTCTGCAGAACAAGAGGAACCATGGTGGGTGCCCAGCTTGGCCTGGGCCTCCACTGGGCCTGTTACAGAAAACCGGGCAAAGGCTCGGGTCCTCTCAATCTGCTTCCGCTGCCTTGTTGAGGGAGTAAGAGTGCGTGCGCATTTCTTAAGAGTGGTCTAGGTTTCTGACAGCCCCACTGTCAGTCTCATTGACTTTCAAACCCGCTAAGAGACCTGTCCTTCCAGTGCTAGGCCCCAGAGATGGGGTGCCTGAAACATGGTTCAGACTCCTCACTCCCCAGGAAGGGTGTAATCCCCCTCCTCTTCTGTGTTCCCTTCCAGGGCACAGGTCCTGACCTGATTGCTTCTCCTCCCTTCCTGATCCCGACTCTGTTTCTTACGGCCTTTTGGATGTTTAATACTCATTCTGCCAGTCTCCAGTTTGTTCCCAGTGAGAATTGCTCCACATTTTTGATGTCTTCATGGGGGGAGGTGAGCTCCATGTCTTCCTCCTCCACCATGTTGATCTCCTCCTTTTATGGATTCATTAGTTTACTGAACAATATGCTGGTTTCTTCTGTGATAAATTACAAATCTTGGTTTCTCAGTATTCTACATAGCGATAAATACACTACAGGAATCGTTATTCTATTACTGACCTTTCTTCATTCTGTAACAAATTCAAATAATAGCATAAGATTGTAATTTTTAATAATATTCCTGCCCTTTGAGTTATGAGCTAAATTATACAGGTTCAATAAACCCCTTCAGCTAATGATGCTCCTTTTGTAAGCTGTAATTCATGTAGGGGAAGTTTTATGTACCTTTCTTCAAGCATCCATTGGCTTGGCATAGATGCACACTACCTGATAAGCTAATTGTGCAAATTTTTCTTCTGTTCTTAGGTGCCCAAACTAGCCATGGTTAGGTTTGTTGAGGAAGGTTTAAGAAGACAGGTAAAGAAGCATCCCTGTTATTGGACCATGCTTTTTCTCTGTGGCAAAAATGCATTAAGGCAATCACTGAGACATTTTGGAAACAGGTACTTTTTGCTATTTTTTATGGCTTGTCTATTCCAGTGGAGTGCCAGTTCCTTTTTTGTGATGTTTTGGGTGTTAACTGATATTGTATCTAGGGTCCCTGAGGGAGTCAGTCACTTAAGTCATATTTTAAACATATGCCTTTACAGTCTTCACTCTTTATATGCATTAAACAGTTTACTGATACTTCGTAGTACACATTCTAAATACCTAACTCCAGGAAGTATTTTAACCACTTAAAGGGAATACTCTTATGATCAAAGCTCATTAATTAAAATTTTAGTTCATGCCAATATGCAATGGAAATTGTCACTTGAAAACCATTTGTTTATGGCAATCCTGCCTAGTGGTAGACCTCTTTTCTAGGTTGGGACATTCTGGCCCTAAGGGTATGTTTCAGCACCACCCACCTTGGCACACCACTTATAACACCCAACCTGCCCTTTAATATCCTGGTGAGAGTATGAAGTGGGTAGATTAGACAAATGTGTGCAACAGAAAATTGAGGGTATGTTTGAGTTCCTTTAATTGTATCATAATTGGATAAAGCCACTTTTGGATAAGCCAGAAGTATGCTCTCTCTACTTCTGCTATAGGTATGGATAAATTTAAGCTGATCATATGATTTTACTATCACAAATTCAATGAGCCTCACTAAGCAGTAGCTTCTCTTATCCAATATACCTCTAAGGCAAAAAAAGACCTAAGATCATTTACTGTCAAATATGAATCCTAATTTCTGGCAGAAGTCCTCCGTCCAGTGTTAATTTGCTTATATTTACCATCTCTGTAATGTAATTACTTAATTGTAGATTCTGCTTACCAACTTAACTTTGGAAGGTTAACCAGGAAAGTATGTTGCTTAACATGAATCAGATCACAGGTGCATTGTTGAGATGAGTGAGTGAAAATTCTGACTGGAAAAAAAATTCCTATGCTAGGATTTTATATGGGATTAGACTTGTTTTTTGAGAGAATTCTTGACTCTTTTCCAAAAGACTATTACTTCACCCTACTCCAACATGAAGAGGCATGAAGAGCTACCATATTTACCAGCATATAAGATATGTAACACATAGGGAAATGGGTAACTTTCTAAGAATAATTTTTGGAAAAAAATTGTTTTCACACACAGTCTAGAAGTGTCTCTAAAAGTTGTCCTATATACAGAAAACCATGTTCTTCATATAAGAACAATATATGGACATTAAAATGAGATGATAATGTCCTTCCATTTTAGATCTTTGCAAGTTGACCACAGTCAGGGCCGGGCAGATTTTGTGTTTGTATGAGATGTGAGTGCCTTGATTTTATGAAGAAGTGTAAACCCTCCTGTTCACCAGAGCATGTGAGCTGTCCAAATAAATAATGCCAAGTACCTGTGTTGAGCGAAGTTTAGGTTTTCGCCAGTGAGCAGAATCACAATGTGTCATGTTTAATCAAAAGCTTGATTAGGAGAAATAGTCACACAGGATTGCTTAAAGGAAATGTACCCCACTCGTCCCACTCAACTTTAACTGCTCTGTCTTTCTAGAGCACACGTGAGAGCAACTGCTTGGATCATGATCTCAACTCCTAGCTGACCAGCACTTCCTATCACATACCCTGCATCTGGGCCCCCAGAGAAAGCACTGGAAAGGGTAAGTGTTCAAAACTTGGAATATATGTGTCAATGCTTTGAGAGTCTTTAAGTTTCTAAATTCGTGACTGGAACCTCCTAGAGGAATTTCATTCTAGGCTTTAGTACTAGGAAAACTCAGTGTCCATCCTTACTTGAAGGAGAAACGATGTTCCTCTTCACCGTTGGTGGGTTGGGAGCTCTAATCCCAGGCTGTGTGCTGGCTGACTAGACCTCGTCATGAACTTCTGGGTCCTGATTTTGCACTTGCAGTCATCTTGGTAGCCAGTTCTTACTGACCCTTCATCTTATGTACTTGAAAAAAATACTTATCTTGGTATCTGGTTTAGGTAAGCTCCTTCAAATACCATTAGAAAACATATGAGAATATGAACATAAAAAAATATGGCATTTATTCATTACTATATTGCAAAATAGAGTTCTACAGCTCCTCATGTATGTTTTACTCTGAACAGAATGTGTGGGGTTCTTTTTACACTGTTTTGGCCACAAGATGTGCAGCAGATGTCAGGAGGCCAAGAAGCTGTGAAAGGCCCTGGCCAAGTCCTCTAACCATTCTCGCCTTCGTGGTTGGAAGACATTCTTCCCACTTGTCTGCTGCAGCCCTGTTGTTTTTGACTTAAAGATAGACTGTCTGCATTGAGAGTGAATGTCTTTCATTCTTTTTGTCAAGCTAATTGTCAAACCTGATTTCTCTGTGACTAGATGGATGCTTTGGTCTTCCTCCAGGGCACTTTCACCAGATAATTCTCACTAGGCATTTTATGCAAGTGCTAAATATCACTGCAGCAGTGCACTACTACCTAGAGGAGGAATGAAACAATGGGACACTCTCTCTTTGTGCAATAATACACTTTTATTTTCCTTTTACCTCTGCAGTCATCTTTGAGTAATTATTGTGTAAACAATAGAATGGAATGAAATTACATTAAGTTGTATGCAAATGGCTCTAGAACACCTTAACAATTATGACAAGGCAATTATAAATAACTTTTTTTTCCTTAGTAATATATATTTGCTTTTTAAAGTACATTAAAGAGCTGCCATATCTAGGGTTAGCTAGGAAAGAGCAAACGGTACCATCTGGGAGCCACCACCCTGAAAGTTTAGACTCCAGTTTTGAAAATCTGATGGTTTACTATTTCATAATATATAGTCAAGCAGAGGGTGATTTGGGTTGAAAGTATTTATTCTTGAAACTTAACAGCGTTTTACCTTTTAGTCATTGCACAAAACCCTTTCTATTATTTTTCACTCCATCTGGGTATTCTGCAGAATTTCAAGTAAAACACGGATTCTGGTATTTTCAAGTTTATCACCTTTGGAACGACAGATCCTTTCATTTCAGGAGACATCAAATCAGAGGTGGGTACATAATTAGCAATCTAACAGAATGGCGCCATTTTATAGAGCATCCTAAACGTTCCAGTGAAGCAAAACTTACATATGCCACTTTATGTAGAGGAAATTTTAGATCTGAGACTATTCCAGAGTAAAGCAGCCTCAGGCACATTCTTAATATGAATTTTTTTTTTTTTTCCCACAAGGCACCTCCCTCTCCCAGGAGACAATCAGATTGTGAACTGGTTTTCAGGCAAACCAAAAGAGTAAGCATCCTAGTTCCTAATTCAGTCATTTCAAAAATCACAAGTTATAAATACTCGAAAGATAGACCTGAAATTTTTTGTTTAAATAACAAGAGTAACTGCAGGAAGCATATATAATCAAAAACGTTTTTTTTTTTCTCTTCCTTATAGCTAAGGTGTGTAATGCATAAATATATGAAAAATAAAATTCACAGTCAGTTTTAAAACTAGAATTCAAGTTTGGCTAATAAATCTTAATTTTATAAGTATATTAATTTCTAAATACAACATAAGAGGCAGTCTTGTCAGATGTACAATTAAAGAATTATAACAGAAAGGACAACAATGAGAGAAGAAATAGGCTTCTGATAGAAAAGATTCCTTTTGTTGCCAATAAATAGGACCACCTGAGTGTTTCAGATTCTTTTCACTTAGGGGAGATCCAAATTGGTTGCTGAGGATATTAAATAGCTTTTGAAAAACTGAGCAACAGTCGTGCAGTTGTGGCATTTGCTTGTTCTCATACTGTGGGTTGCTAGAGAATAAAGCAGAGCGCAGTGTTGTTAAGTTTAAAAAAAATCTCTCTCTTATCTTACGTTGAAGCCGGCCTCTTCACAATCCTCTGATTTTGCTAGGGGGTGGGAGGAAGTGGCAGGAAAGGTTGGAGGGAGGGTGTGGCGAGGGGAGGCATGACAGATCAAGGTGACATCAAGGGACAGATATCAGCTGACACTCAACTGAGCAAACCCGATCAGCTTCACTTCGTCGGGAATCTCCGACCCATCACAGCCAGAAGCCTGAAAAGGTAAAAAGAAAGCCTCAGTGCTTGTTGGTTGGTAGAGGCCTTTTGCAGAGTTGTTCGTGGAAAGGCGGGTCCATCTGCAGTCTATGGGGCCAGGGGTCCCATCTCGGCCAGCAGACATGCTAAGAATCCCTTTCTTCAGTGACTCCTGGGTGTCAGCTGCTCTTGGAAATCTGGTCATCAAGCCCATTGAGGACAGAGGCGAAAGGCTTTGTTGCCCAAGAAATGGAACCGCCAGTGAGCCAGCCACAGGACTGCTGGGAAGGTGCATACACGTTCTCAACAACTACCATGTGAAACGTAGTTTTAAATATGCCTTACTTTTAAAAGACTATTGTGAAAATGAGCAGAAGAGATCTAATAGGCCACACTCAAGGGTAAGTTGGTTTTTACCAAAATCATCATCTCTGTCAAACTGGTCAGGACAAAAAAGGTCACCAAGTAGTGGACTGCCTCAGGATAGACAGCTGTTGTTTAAATAGGAGTAATTTTTACAGGGAAAGGTACCATACTTTTTTTTTCTATAACAGAATTTGTAAAAATTTAGGACATATTTATTGCCTTAAAATTGGCCCAGATTACAGAATGCAAAGTACTTTATCATGTCAAAATCCAAAGAAACTCTAAATAAGCCCTTGCCCATCAAAATTCTCACTGGCCCTAATTCACAACTTATTCTTCTCTTGACCTCCCTTTCCTATACGGTGGCTCAGTAGTAAATTTGCAGGTGGCTCCTGCAATGCAGGAGACTCAGGTTCGATCCCTGGTTGGGAAGATCTCCTGGGGAAGGAAATGGCTACCCACTCCCAGTATTCTTGCCTGAAGAATTTAATGAACAGAGGAGCCTGGTGGGCTACAATCCATGGGGTTGCAAAGAGTCGGGCATGACTGAGGAACTAACCTATAGACACACAGAGTGCTCAGACCACCATTCTAAATTGCCTCTACAGTACATAAATCAGAACTGGACGTTACGCAAGTACCGCAAAGTGGGGTGAGAAAAGTTTGAATGCCTGGGAATGGGCAATTAATTACCAAAGGGACATATGAACCTTTTCTTGGCTGAATGCCTGCTAAATAATTGTGAAAACAACTAGTTTCCCAGGGTCAAGAGCCCTTTCCAATCCTCACAGTGAAGCTGCTTAGCAGTGTTCCAAAAAACTGTGCAGAAACTCAGCCCTTTGCCAACCCCAGCATTTTCCTTTAAAATAGGCAGCTAATTAGAACATATAACTTGAATATTTAAAATAATTATCCTTAACATTCAGTGTGAGCAATCATGCTTAATAAGAAAATCCATAGCCTAAAGAGTAGGAATATTAGCTAACATTTAAATAATTTACTTTGTGCCTGTTGATGGCTCTAGTTTCAATTGACAGATATTTGTTAAAGTACAATTTTCATTGTTTGCATTGCCAGGGGCAGAAAGATCAGAAGCTCTCCTTATCACCGTTAACAAAGCAGCACAGGCAGAAATGGCTTCGCAGCTGAGATTTCTGGTGGGTATTTATCACACCAACGCCTCTTAAATCAGAGGCCTTAAATCCTCTTAAATCCTTACCTCTTTGTAGCCTGCAAAATGATCATGAGGACAATAAGCAAATGATACTGAAATCTACACAAAAAAGACCAGAAACCCTTAGACAGCAGTTCTCAAACTTTATCAAGAACTCCAAATGATTATGTCCACGTGGATTATATTTATTGTACTTAGAAATATTAAATATTTATATAAACAAATGTGACTGAAACTTAGAAGCTTCTGCACAGTAAAGAAAATCATAAACAAAATGAAAACACAACCTACAGAACAGGGTAAAATATTTGCAAACGATGCCACCAACAAGGGTTTACACTAGAAACAAGGGTTTCTGGTATACAAAGAACTCTTACAACTCAATAACCAAGAAACAAACCACCCAATCAAAAAATGGGCAGAGGACCTAAATAGACATTTCTCCAAAGAAATACAAATGGCCAATAACCCATGAAGAGATGCTCAACATCACTAATTACTAGAAATACAAATCTACAATGATGTCCCACCTCATACCAGTCAGAACAGCCACAAATGCTCCAGTATGGAGAAAAGGGAGAGCTCCTATACTGTTGGTGGAAACGTAAGTTGTTGTAGCCACTGTGGAAACCAGTATAGAGGTTTCTCAGAAAAGCAAAAATAGAATTACCTTCCCTACAATCCAGCAATCCCATTCCCACTGCTGTAGCTAAGAGTCCCAGTCTGTTACCTACAACACATAAACAGACTCACAGACATAAAGACTTGGGGTTGCCAAGGGGAATGGAGGTGGGGGAGTGATGGATTGGGAACTTGGGATTAGCAGATGCAAACTATTACATATAGAAAAACAATTTACTTTATAGCAGAGAAAGCTTACAATCAACATTCTATAATAAACCATCATAGGAAAGAATGTGCGTGTGTACATATATAACTCAAATCACTTTGCTGGACAGCAGAAATTAACACATTGTAAATCAACTTCAATAAAAATATGTTTAGTAATGTTAAAGTATTGAATCTATTTTAAAACATAAAACATGTTTAGGTTATGTTGTATTTACTGTCTTAAATAAAAGGTTTACTTTAACATTACAGAAATAAGCCCACTGCATGCTAATAGTTTCCCAAAACAAAATTAAAAGTGGCACTGCTTCTTGCACTTTCTCAAATCTCAAATGTTTTGCTTAATAAAAATGGCCAGATTCTCACATCTGCATGTGCAGTCACTGGACTGCTGTTTTCCTTAAAGTATACTAAGAAAATACAGTCTCTCACAAATGTCTAGTTGGAAAAGGGGAGAGTATCTTAATAGCCTTTCCAAACAATTGTGGACATCATTTGTTACTATGCCAAAACCTTCAAAGTGCTATTTTCATAAAGCTTAGTTGCAATGTAAAATGCAACTGTTTTCACAACTTCTCGTAACTGTTATGTAAACACTGACCTATTTTAATGGATCTTTTACCCATGTATAATTTTTTAGCATCACTGATCTAGCAAATGTTCCAAATGTTGACATATTACACAGTATCAATACATTATTATCTATTACCAATCTCATTGGACAAGGCTTTAAATACTGGGGGTAGGGTTGTGTGTGTATGTGGGGGGCTGTCTGTTAAACTTACTACAGCAGATTCAAGTTTTCTAAAGTCCTGTTTTTTGCTTGAAATGTGACATTTCTTATTGACAACAAATACTGTCCATTGTTTTCCTTGAAGTGTCAGGCTTACTGGGTTCATTTTGAAACAAATGTCTGCCAGATCCCTAGTCTGAAGAGCCAATGTTTGTCAGCTGTTCTTCCAAGTAAAAGTGATGTTCCATGGAAAAAAAAAAAAGGCTAGTTTGGCTCACAACTCAATCTCACCAGTGCTTTCCCTGGAGACAACCATCACACTTAAGTACTGAAGAAATGCTTCCCCTCTCATCACACAGACTATTAAAAAGATGTGTTCTCAAGTGGGGATTTAAGCCAGTTGCAGTTACTTTTTAAAGTTTTCTTTATTTACAGAGTGATAGAATGAGTGCTTTAAAGATGATGGCCACTACTACAGTTTGATATTTCTGCTTTGGTTTCTGCCAACATTACTAGGTTTGACCACAGTGGCGTTTACACCAATGTTAACACTATGGAAAAAGCCAAGTAACATCTTAGTATCCTTATGAACATTCAGGACCCCTTAAAAAAAAGCCTCAAGGAACCCCAGAAGTTCAAGACCCACACTTAGAGAACCTCCACTTCAAAGGAAAATGTACACATTTTCAGGAGCTTACCGTGGTAGTGACTGTCACCCAAGCGTCTGTACTCTGACTCCCGAACGTCCCCACCAGACCAGCAGGCGTGGCCCTCGCCGCGCGGAGGAGCTAAGATGCGGCTGTCCCACGTCAACTCTTAAGAATTCCCTCCACTGCTAGCCTGGGTGCGCTTTGGAACCACCAGGAGCGTTTGAAAACATAGCCGTGCCCACGTGCACCCCAGAAGTTGTAACTGAACTGGTCTGGGGTGTGGCCTAGGCACTGGGATGTTCTGAGCTCCCAGGTGGGCCAGTGGAGCCCGAGAACCTCTGTTCTACCCTAGCGTCCCCTTCCTTTAGGGCCATGGTTCCCAAACTTCAGCATCAGAATCACCCCGAGGGTGTGTTAGCGCAGGTTCCTGTGCCTGCGGATTCCCTCCAGATTCTGGTTCCTCAGGACTGGGATGGAACCCCAGAATTCACATTTTTATAAAGGTTCCAGGTGAAGCTGACACTGTCCCTCTGAGGACCACTTGCAGAACTATTGTTTCAGACTGAATAGGAGACAGAGCTGCTACATGGACCTTCTTGAACTGACAGTTTCCGCAGGAGGAGTAAGTTAATACCCTCAGCTACTTTTTATATCATTTGAGTCCTGGCTTTACGTGTACTTTGGAAAATATCACCTTAATCACTCAGCCTTGATAAATAAGGCTCTTTGGCCATTAATTACCAAAATGCATCTAAAACAGCTATCTGTTCAATATCACTCATTGTTAGAGAAATGTACCAGCTCACACCAGTCAGAATGTCCATCATTCAAAAGTCTACAAGTATCAAATGCTAGAGAGAGTGTGGAGAAAACAGAACTCTCCTATGCTGTTGTCACAGCCACCATGGAAAATAGCATGGAGGTCCTCAGAACACAAAAAGTAGAACTACCACATGACCCAGCAATCCCACTTCTGGGTACAAATCCACACAAAACTCTAATCCAAAAAGATATACGCACCCCTATGTTCAGAGCAGCACTATTCACAATTGCCAACACGCGGAAGCAACCTAATGTCCGCTGACAGATGAGTGGTTAAAGCAGACGTGGTGCATATACACGATGGGATACTGAGCCATAAAACAGAGTGAACTAATGCCATTTGCAGCAACAATGGGATACTGAGCCATAAAACAGAGTGAACTAATGCCATCTGCAGCAACATGAGTGGACCTAGAGATGATCAT